CCCCAAAACCCCAAAACCCCAAAACCCCAGCTGAAAATAAAAAATTGAAAATTAGAAATGAAGAGGACTTATGGTAAATTTCAGATTAAATTTTTGAATTTGTACTGTAGTGAGTTAAGGAAGGGGGTTAAGTGGGATTGGAGGGGAGATAGGGGGATTTGGGAGATTTGTGTGTGTTTGGGGGATTTTAGGGGTTCTTGTGTGGGAGGGGGTGTGTTGGAGGTTTTGGGGTGGGATTTGTGATGTAGATATAGATGTAAGGGAGATAAAGTCACAGTTATCTGATTCTGAGCTGGAAGATGAGAGAGTTGAGCATAGAGATCCAAGACTTATTCAAGAGAAGTTTCATTTATCTGAGTTTATGACGAGGTTAGGGGATCTTGAAGAGTAATATTGGGTATAACTTCAATAGAGACCAACCAAATTTTAAATAAGCTGAAGGATACAGTAGAGATGCATAATGAAACGATCCTCCGTATGGTCCACGAAAATGATGCTTTAAAGACATTTGTTCGAACGTAAATTATATCTAACAACTGTAGTCACTTCACAAAAGCTGAAGATTTATTGTACAAATAATACATCTCAGTTAGAAAATAAATTTGAATTTATTTTCAAATCTGAATTGAAAGATTTCTCAACAAAGGATTATGTCCAAGATAGGCTATGAGATAAAGGTACTAATTTATGATAACTCTTCAGCCAACGCTTCCGATATGGTCCGACTTAACCGTGAAGTTAGGATGCTCGAGAGTTATGTCTCCAAACTAGAGAAGGTAGTATTTCAAGGCTATAAGAAAGAAGCAGAAGTATTCCTGAATGGCAAAGTTGATAAAGAGGTATTTGAACAATTCAAAACTATTAAAAATACTGAATCAGAAGGTTTTTCTAAATTTTCAAAGAATATGAATAATACTGTGGATAAAATGAGCCGATTTGTTCAAAATTTGGATGGGGACCTGAAGACACTCAATGAAAAATTCAAACAAAGTGAAGCTCTCCAGATTAGTAGGAATGGATCATTAGATCTTTCCTCTGAAGATACTGTTGATTTTGCTCAAATAGATTACGATTCTATCACTCAAGTTCCAGTAAATCAAATTGCTAAAAAGATCTTGAAACCAATGTATCAAGCTATCAAAGGTTTGAAGAGAGATTTTACTGAAAACATGTCCGATCTTATGAACGAAAAGGAGCAACGAAGCAGCCGTCAATTAAACTCACTAGCTCAGCAGCACCAAAACTCTCAACGCCAGATCAGCACCTGTATGAACAAACTCGAAGATTTGCTTGCTGAAAAAGAAGAAACAGCTAGGAATAGTCAGAGTAATTTGATCCTAAACCTCTAGAATTTGCAAAGGGCTTAGAAAGCCTTTCTGACAACCTTAAAGCACAAGAGAGAAAGTAAGTTTAGCCTCTAATTTCAGGTCTAAAGAATCTCTTGAGAAGATAAACAAATAAACTGATGGAGCACGATATTTCTCTTCAAGAGTTACACCAGAAGGTAGATTTTGTTAAAATCAGCAAAGAGAAATTGTTTGAGGAAGTATGCAATAATCTTGATGATCTAATCCGTTCAAAATTCTCGCTCTCAACTAAACTACAAAACTCTGATCTGAAACTATCCCAGATGGTTTTAGAGTTAGAAAAGAAGCAGATTACTCTTGAGAATGAAGTTGAACAGAGCAGACAGGATTATGAAATTACTATTTCTAATCTTCAGAATGAGACAGAATCATACAGCCAAGAACTTCAGAGAATGCAGGCTTACAATAGAGAATTAGTAGATAAACTAGCTGTATTTGGTAATATGATTTCTAACATTCTAGATTCTGGAATGTTTACAAGTTATCAAAGCTCACAATGAAATAAAGACCCAGCCAAGAGTACTTTCTTGACTGAAGATGCAACCCCAATAAATGATCTTCACAAGAGCTACTCAAGACCTACTAAGTTCTCAAGAGGACATGAGAGATCAATAAATCATGTTTGTCAGCACAAAAGAAGGATGAATTCTGATTTTACTACCTCTAAAAGACCTTTAACCACAAATAATTTCAGAAAACCTCAATCACGCATGAGATTTAAGGGCGGTTTGGGTAGCTCCCACCGTTCATCATCTACAAAGCGAGGCAATAAGACAACAGAGAACAATCAGAGCTTCGATCTTCGTGTGAACAAATTTTTCACTAAATCCAAAGGGTTTTTCCAAAAATTTGAGACAATCCTCACAAGTGACCATGTAAAACTAGAGAGTGGCCCAAAGACCACGTCTGGACGCCGTAATGCTAAAAAGACAGTTTCCACGGCTAAATCTAGAGGTCAAAAGACTAATTTTATCGAGAATAGTGATATAAGCAAAAAGAATCTGAATTTGACGATTGAAGAGCAAGAGAATAATATGCGTAATGAGATACTGGAGAAGTTCAAAACTCAAGGCTTCACAGTAGAAAAGAATGGAAAGAAAAGGTATAATAATATAATAAATTTCAATTTAAAATGGAAAAATCGGGGTTTTGGGGTTTTGGGGTTTTGGGGTTTTGGGGTTTTGGGG